CAGCGGGTGACAGAGGAGATGATGGAGTCCTTGTTCGAGAAGCTGAGCTGCTGTCCAGGTGCGGCAGCCCGCATCCACATGATGCTCGAAGCTGGTGGATTCGACGTGATTCACAAGGAGCCAGCCAGCGGAGACTCAAAAAATGCTGCCGAAGTCCTACAAGAAATTTGACTGTCGCTGTCGAGAGAGACCGTCACTAAATGCCTGGTTGGTGGTTTGGAACATTTTTTTTCCATAATATATGGCATAATCCTTCCCATGAACTAATATGTTTCAAGATGGTTATTGCACAAACAACCAGAAACGCGATTCTTGGGTATGCCCGGTATGCCCCATTCTTGGACTCGCCAATCTTCAGGTTATTTTGACGAAACTGCCCGAACGCTTTTCAGGTGGGTACCTGTTTTTTGTGATCAACTGAGGATCTGTGTTGCATGGAAAGGTCCATCATCTCCATTGGTGGAGAGAACAGATATTGAAACAAAGAAAGCGGGATTGAACGAGCGTCAACTAGTGATTCCAAGGAAATTTCCTGGCGGGTTTTTAAGCCATACACACGTAGCTTTCGAGTTGGTTTGTGTATAGACAGCTTTAAGCACATATCCCGCATAACTTCAGTCAAACTTTAAGCCGGAAATAGGAAAACCACCAAGAGTCCAAAGAAACATTGGTGCAGGTGTGGAAGACTGGGCTGGTGAAAAGTTCCAAAAAGTCTCAAGCATCAAAACCAGCCATGTGTTAAAGTCACTGGCAGCCGAAGCAACCGAGGATATGGTGTTGATTTGCATGAAAGGTGCCCTTTCCTAAGGGGGGGCCTGCAGCGTGGACCTGTCGTGTTTAGGCGAATAAAAAATTGGTACAACCTTCAATGATATTCATTTATTGCATAAACTCTGGTGTAGTCGTGGGTCTATTCATGTTGGGGTTCCTTATCTCGCAGACAGTCTAATATCAGGGGAAGTGGATTAGCTACAGCGGAATAATGAAGGAGTAACAGAATATCCAGCTGAAAAAATAGTTTTACGCTGAGTACCTCAGAATAAAGCTATGACCATGGGCATAGTTTGGCCAGGGTCGTATCCTCAGAAATAGGTTGGCCATTGACATGTCATGATATTTCATGGGTTAAAAACTTACATAAACTTACGAAACATATATTTCATTGATATTGCATGATATTTCATGATATTACCTGGCACCTGGCCCACAGAAACTCACCAGTCAAAAACTTGCGAATTCAGTGACCTAATCTTAGTGAACTGGGCTGATGCCGAAGTGCAGTTCCTGTCTCATCCACCCCTAACATCAATCAGCCTATGAAGCCCATGAAATCCCCTACATGTTGCGTTTGTACCCTCAGGTAAACTAACAGGGCCATTGAAAATGGCCCATTTACAGTTTTTTTTACCGATTTAAAGTGGTGAATTTCCATAGTTATATTAGTTTACCAGAGGGTATGCACATATGAATACATATTGGTGAACATAACTCCAATAACTATGGTTTATGATACGCAAATAACATCTTATAACTATATATATATAGGCATAGGTCATAGGATTTGTAAGCCAACTAACATTACTATGGTTTATGACACTTATAACATCTTCTAACAAATAGTGTATATATATATAATAGTTTAAAGGATTTGCAAACCAAAGTTCGCATCACCAGAGGATCCCATTTTCCAATAACTCCAATAACTATGGTTTATGATACGCAAATAGCATCTTATAACACACACACATATATATATATATATACGATACGATATGATGTGATTTGATTTGATTGGATATGATATTTACATATGATATGATATATACATATGATATATATATGATATATATATATATATATTATATCACATATATATATGATATATATATATATATATGATATGATATATATATATATATATAATTTATATATATATATGATATATATATATGATATATATATATAATATATATCTAGATGATATAATTAACATATATATATAGTGAATAGGGTTTTTCCCACTCGGTTTCGCCTTTGGTTGGGCCGGGCTAGGCATCTTCGACCCCTTGACCTTCACGGGCGAAGTGCCAGGGACTTGGATGGCCATGGATGGTCGAGTCCCGAGGCGCCAAAAATGCTGGCGCCACGGTGGGTTTTTTCGATTCAACCAGGGTAACAAGGTGGAGATGATGATCTCTAGGTCAATAGGTTTATAGGTTAATCTTAGGAATATCCATGGGAGACATGAGTTTACTAGGGTAGCATGGGATTCTGGGGTAGAAACTCATCCTACCTAGGTTTATAGGTGATATATCCATAGTTTATATCCATAAATATCCATTAAATCTGGGTAAGTTGGTTGCCTGGATGTTTGAGGGTGGCTGTAGCAAATCCTATGGAAACCTCGGTGAAGGGTACTTTGATATAATTACACATGGGATTTACACCAACCTACAAAGTGGGGCCCCCTAGGTAGCTAAGTTGGTTTATAAACACCAGTAAGTATAGTTATAAGTATCGTAAACCATAGTTATTGGAGTTATAAACCAAGTTAGCTATCTTGGGGGCACCACTTTGTAGGTAGCTTCGCTAATCCTAACTAGTCTGACTTGGTATCTGGCTGGGATTATCTACGTTCACCAGCTAAGAAGTGTTTTTGCAGATTTTCCAAAACTGGCCTTGATCTTGATTTTATGGGATTTCAAACAATTTAAATGATGCAAGAAATGAGAAAAAAGGTCCTATTGTAGTTTTTTTTGTTTTTCAGGCAACCCAAACGATGAGTAAATGGCATAGAATAAACACACACGGAAGGCGGTAAACAAACGGCCAATGAAATTGATGAGTGGACACCATGGGATGGAGACGTAGCAGTGGTGAAACTCACCACTTCGCCTCGGAGAAAGATCACAGATGTTGCAAAACGTTCGAATTTGTAGGTTTTGGCCATGAAATTCCATCGAATTTCATATTATAATTATGATCATATTAAATCCAATGAACTTACTGTAGAGTTTGATCCTCACATGAGCCAAAAAAAATGGTGGTTAATTTACAGTAGTATTGTGCGATCCTTCGTTCAGAATTCCAGGCACCGCCGCAGCTATTTCCGATGTTTTTGGTAATTTTGGAATGTGCCATTTAGTTGGGGAACGACCCTCTGAACGACATCCAGAACGACATTGGAACAACCTCCTAAATATACGTATATAAGTTATATAAGTATATATTTACATATATTTATATACAGGTCTAGATGCATTTAGAACAAATCAGCAGCCAAATTACACCCGGAACCACCCTAAATGCATTTTTTGGGGCTAGCAAATTGCATCTGGCACGATCTTTGTAATCTCTGCAACGAGACCCTAGCCTGAGCGGTTTCCCTCTAGAACCATGTTTTTACGAGCCCAAGACTCTTCCCGTGCACAAAAAAATGATTGGAGATAGGGCCATTTTATAAGGAATTTATCCTGGGCGCACCCAAGAATTGCACGTCCAGTAGAAACACAGAGGACCCTACCCGTTCCGGGGAATTCAGACAGAGATATGATTTTCAGATTGTATAATTATTGTGTATTCAAGGGTCATTATTTAGCAATTTTTCTCGGCTCCGAAACGACCTCAGAACGACCTCTGAACGACCTCTGAACGACATCAGGATTTCAGTCAGAATGACCAATTGCCCACAAAAACCCGGAGACCGCAGACCATTCATCCCATGTGCGCTGCGTTCCAAGTCATTGACCTGATAGCAATCTGTTCCACAGATGGGTTAATTTTCCCAGTAACACTGTCAAACTTTTCTGCCATGTTTCAAAATGGCCCCGCCATGGGATTGTGAAAAAGATGCTGTTCCCTGAAAAAGAAACAGCTGAACGAAACTTTCTCTACGGATATATACGGATATGATGTAGCTGAAAGCAGCTCTGATGTAGATGAAACAAGCTCTAGTTCAAACAGTTCAGAATCAAGCGCCGAGACATAAATATGAAGATCGCCGCTTGGAAATCACATGATTTGCTGTTGGGATAAGGATTTACATACAGGTTTTTTTTCAACTCACATGTTTTGCCATTGTTTTGGACACAGCCATGTATCAAGGAATATCCAGATAATGATGGGTATTCAACCATGCAGAAATGCAGATGTCAAAATGAAACATTGGGATATATATATATACATATATATATATATATTGGAATGTACCAGCACATGTGGTCCATTATCATCAGGTTTAGTTATGGGATTTTATAGGGTTTATTTCTGAATTGTGAACTGTTATAACTTGCCCAGGTCAGTTATAAATGCATATTTATGCATCTCCGAAAATAATAATAAGAATTATGTACACTCTGGTAAACAAACATAACTATGGAAAATCACAATTTTCAATGGGTAATTCCACTATAAATGGTCATTTTCAATAGCTATGTTGAATTACCAGAGGGTAATATATATATATATATATATTATCTATATATCTATATGTATATATATATGTGTATGTATATATATATATATATGTATGCAATATGTTCTTGGAAAATGGCTTGTCATGTCCACATCTATGTTCATTTACGGGCGAATCCAGATCGACATGAGTCTCCAGAGGTCACTTTTTATTTACATACCATGCTTTTGGGCCCCCGTAAAGTTGGTAAAGATCTACCAGAAAACATATAGAATTTCATGGAACTTCATGGGATTTCACCATGCAAAGAGAACTCGAATTCAAGCTGCACCACCTTTAGACCTGTTGCCTTGGAAACGGTGTGGCATTTCCTGCAGTTCGTTGAGCATTTCTCAGATCATGGCGAGCAGTTGGTGTTTGGGAATGTGGGCCCGGCGAACGCCGGCACAGAAGAGGAGCAGCCATCCCGTCACTCGACGCTTCCATGATACTTCCATCTCACATTGCCCCATCGGCCATCAGGTTGACTTGATTTAATGGGATTTCATGGGATTTCACCATGAAAAGCTGTGATTTAATGGGATTTGATGGGATTTCACCATGAAAAGTTGTGATTTAATGGGATTTCAAGAAAAGTTGTGATTTAATGCGATTTCATGGGATCTACTAATGTAGCTTAAACGATGTCATACACCACCCATGACTGGAAATGGTAAACATACACCTATGAAACTGGTGATGACTGGGGGATGGTTTATGATATTGCTTTAACCAGATTATAGTTATACCAGTTGGAATTTCCCCACAATTTGGGCCCCCAAACAGTGTAAATTTGTTTATAAAGCCTTTTTAACTATAGTAATAAGTATCAGAAACCATAGGTGTTGTCGCTGTTGGAGTTATGTTCACCAACTTAGCTATCTAGGGGGCTCCACTTTGTAACTATGGACAATCACCACTTTAATAGGTAAATCAACTATTTCTATGGGCCATGTTCAGTAGCTATGTTAGTTTACCAGAGTGTACTTCAAACCAGAAAATGTCGAACATTTTGTGGGTTTTAATACAATGTGGGGCCGACCAGTTATAAGTTGTTTTATAAACCCCATTAACTATAGTTATAAGTACCATATATCATAGTTATTGTCGTTATAAACCAACTTAGCTATCTTGGGGGCACCACATTGTAATAGTTGATTCATGGAATTTAAATCAAACTCATGAGAGATATTAAGCTGATTAATAGCTAAGTTGGTGCAACCACTGGCCAACCAGCTGATGGAAGTGCCCAACACGGCCAGGCCTTTGAAGTGCCACGGGCAGCAGAATTTCTGCCCCGATCCGCGGCTTCCCAACATGGCATTAGTGCCTCAGGTCGAAGAAAGTCATGGGCTACTGGCATATTGGAAGAGTCAACTATACAAAGTGGTGCCCCCATAGGAAAAATCATAGGAAAACCATAGGAAAATGGGGCTTTCATGGGATTTATAGCTGATTCATGATAGCTAAGTTGGTGCAAATAATTCCAATTTCACTATGGTTTATGCTACGCAAATAACTATAGTATTCATGGGGTTTGTACATCAACTTATAACTGGGGGGCCCCACATTGTAAACCCATGATATTCCATCATATTCGACCATTCCCTACAGCTCCAAACACCAACACTGGGTTCTGTTTTCACCTTCGAATCGTATAAGGGGAGCACTAGGGATTATTCCATTCTCGTGATGGGTTATTGGTTACTCCAAGTCATTTAGATGATTGGATGATGGGTTGATTAGTCCATTAACTAACCACTTTACCTATTCAATTAATGCAAGAATCATTGGACTATAACTATAACGGCCTAAAGCAAAAAATAATGGGATTCAATAGGATTTAAAGGGACAATGGATGGTGAATGGATGGTTTAACATATAGAAATTGTGAACTATTACAATGAAATCATCGTGAAACAACTGTCATATGATATGTTGATCATTGGATGATCACAATATCCAACCAGTTTAATTTACAATTGGATTCTTGTTTATAACCAACCATGATAAAAATATATATATATACTATTATATACTGTCAGGGTTTATGAGGGGATATAGTATAATCTGATGTAGCTAACCAACCCCGCAAGGCGGTGTACAGTAGCGGTGTTTTTTACGGGATTTAACCAAGAAACATGGTGATCGAATGGGAATTCTTGGGGATTTCATTGGAAGAACCAACAATAGTGATAATTATGGATATTATGGGATTTCACCAACAAATATGGTCACTTCGTCATACAGATAGTAAATCCTATTAAATAGGATTATGGGATTGATCCAACAATAGTAAATCCTACTATTGGTTAATTTATTGTTGGTGAACTTCCTGTCAAATATGGGATTTCACCAACAAAGATGATGATTTCATAGGGTTTACTGAAATCCTGACATACCCCTGATCCATACCTTGATCCATACCTGGGTCCATCCTGCTTGATCCATACCAGACGATTGGCCCGCACCCATATAACCACATCAATCATCCTATCCCTAAATATACAGCATTGACATCACCATGCTTATGGACTTCAATTAAATATACAATATTGAAATCACCATTTCATGATTTAATCATGACGGCAATTCCATTGACAATAGTTCAATCATGTTAAATCAGTACTATTTCCATATGTATATGTATATATATATCTGTGTACCCTGTGGTTATTTAACATAGCCATGGAAAATCACCATTTTAACTTCGGTAAACCATCTATTTCAATGGGCCATGGCTTCCATGGCTATGTTAAATAACCAGATAGTAAATGATCTGAGTTTTGCAGATAGTTTATAACCCCAGCTAAGTATAGACATTTCCAGACATATTTATTATAAAACCTAGCTATGGCTATGTAGATATACAACGATATTTACAGCATCATCCTTAAATCAATGGGAATTCCAGGATCCTAAAATGGAGATACTGTACCATATAGGGCAATATTGTGTGGGGATATTTCCTTACATAGGCCTTATATAGGCCTTATATATGGTAGGTACCTCCAATTAAATCGGTTCCTGAGTCATGGCCATTGCTTAAATCACCTTGAAACCTGACAATTGGCCTCCCCATGGGGCCCATCCAGTTTCAACCTGGTCGTTGTCAAGGTGTCTTTATCGCATCAGCTGCGAACAGGCTGACGATGTTCGATCTGTTTGGGATGTGTTGGGCATAGTGGGCTTAACTCTTTTGGTATTCCATATATATATATACCAATAGTCCCAAAATGATGACTATAACTAGAGATTGTTCATGGGATTTTGTTCGCTGACTTGGTTTAGATTTGGGCAAATTCGTATTTATATGATGATGATTCTAGTTAGTTTGGCCAGACCAACTTGCAACTGGAAGGGACCTACAATTGCAGCGAAGTTAGTGACTCTGAGATCTGGACTTGATGATAGATACTGGCTGGTGGTTTCAACCATTTTTTTATTTTCCATTTCATATATGGGATAATCCTTCCCATTGCCATTGACTTTCATATTTACCCTCTGGTAAACTAACATAACTATGGAAAATCACAACGTTTAATGGGAAAATCAACTATAAATGGCAATTTTTAATAGCTATGTTAGTTTACCAGAGGGTATCAAAATGGTTAAAACCACCAACCAGGACATATCTATGCTGAACTGTTGTTTTTTTTGCGGCAACGACTTGGAGATGAATCATCAGAGAACCATGCGCTGTGTGGGCACCGACAGATGGCGCTGTCTAAGATGATCTAGCGATGATCTAGCGATGGACTGGGGGTGTGTAAGATGATTTAATTAATGTCAACCCCGGATGAGACTAAACCATGGTTTATTGATTAAAGTGTACTCCCCAAACAGTGGTAATCTAATACTCAAATGGTACCTCCCCAATCAAACAGCTGTTTGGGGTTTATTAATCCAGGGTTGACATTAAACATAATCTGGCTCAACCGACTGGTTAGGAGTTCGTATCTGGGGTTCATTCACCCACATATAGATAGATATATATATATTATAGGAAAACCATAGGAAAACCATAGGAAAACCATAGGAAAACCATAGGAAAACCATAGGATCTGATTGGTGGTTTGGAACATGTGGATCATTTTTCCATTCAGTTGGGAATGTCATCATCCCAACTGACGAACTCCATCATTTTTCAGAGAGGTGGCTCAACCACCAACCAGAATAGGTCTGAAAAATGGTCTTGAGTCTTAAGAAAAAACGATCTGGGTCAACCGACTGGTTAGATACATTTACAGTAGATACTATACTTTAGTACAACATGTTTATCTTTTGCTATGGTAAAATTGGTATTAACCAGCTAGAACCCCATCAAATTCTAGCGATTTTGTAAAGCCCCTTGATGGCAGGCTCAACTGCACAGATGGAATGCTTGGAAGATACACAAGGTCAACCTCTGGAAGCCTTGTGTATCAGGCGCTCCGCAGGGACCACGGAATGACTGCAGGAACCCGGGCTGTTTCTCTGTAGAAGACGACTGATGATGGTGAAATTGCAAAAAACAAAAAACTAAACTGTATATATATATATGAGATTATGAGTTCATATGACATTATGACATATATATATGATATATTGACTATAAAGTTCACCAAGCCAGCAACATGATACAACATTTCATCAACCTACTATAACATATTCTAGATGATGGTGACTAGAATGATGGTAAAATGTGTCAGCTTTGTGAATTCTTGTAGTGCCAGACGAGATACGTAAGTGTAACGTGTATTGTTTGGAAAACAAGAACTGGTTGGTGGTTTGGAACACTTTTTATTTTCCCCAATAGTTGGGATGATGATCCAATCTGACTTTCATATTTTTAAGAAGGATTGAAACCACCAACCAGTACGTGTATTGTTTGGAAAACAAGAACATGCCCCAAATACCCTCTGGTAAACTAACATAGCTATTGAAAATCACCATTTATAGTGGATTTTCCCATTAAAAATTGTGATTTTCCATAGTTATGTTAATTTACCAGAGGGTAAATATGGATTTTGCCAATCAATGTGAAGGTTTCGGCCCCGAATCTTCGATTTTTGTAAATCCCCAGTTACTTGAGCCCATCCAGCGCTCTGCCCAGATGCGAAGCATGGTGCTGGAATATGCACACCTACATCACTGGGCCATAAAATGGAGGTAAATGTAGGTAAATAAAATTCAGCACCATGGTTCGCAGTTGGGAGAGGTATGTCTAGCAATAAATCCAGCAGCTGATCTTGCACCGTTGATTGACGCGGAGCAAGAAGTTGAATATAGTACTTGATCAATGGCCATGACTCAGGAACCGATTGATTGGAGGTACCTACCATATATTTTGGCCTAAATTTCAGGGAATATCCCCACAAAATATAGCCAAACATATGGTACGTTTACATACCTCCATTCAGATCCTGAGTCATTACCACTTGAGAACACTATTTGGGTGACCCGAAGCCACTTATATACCCGGCCTGGTAAACATACAAGAAACAGATGGGAAAATCACCATGCTATTCATGGGTAAATCAACTATGTCAACTGGGCCATTTTCAATAGCTATAGTCAGGGGATGTCAGGGTTTAGTATCATCCCTTGACAGTTCTGAACCGAAGCAACAAAAATTGGAGCTTTGGCGCGAGACGGAGGAGGCAGTTACGGGCAGAAAACGGACAGAAACCGGCTCAGCACTTACGGTCAGCAACTATCTTAACTATCTTCTGGATCATTTTTGGATCATTTACCCTCTGGTAAACGTTTACATAGCGAACTGGAAAATCACCATCTTAAAAAAGTAAATCAACTATAAATCGGCTATGGAAAATCACCATGCTATTAATGGAAAACAACTCACTATTTCGACTGGGTCATTTTCAATAGCTTCAAGGTGGTGCCCCGGTCGATAGCTAAGTTGGTGCACATAACTACAATAACTATGGTTTATGGTACGCAAATAACTATAGTTTTCATGGGGTTTATAAACCAACTAACATCACTTGGGGGGCACCACCTTGTTTAACTTTTCATGTTTACCAGGCCGGGTATCTTCGGGTATCTTCGGCTGTGGGTGATGACAAAAATGGCACAGGATCATCGGATCTGCCTGGACAGAGTTGGATACGGCCAACCAGCTGTTTGTTGCAAGCCGCAGCCATGTTCCACGGTGTTCCTCAGTTGTGTTCGTTGTTTCTGTTCAGGAAATTTTTGATAGTAACTAGTGCTGAAAAAAATAATATGTTGCTATGGTGAAATTATAGTTCTAACCAGCTAAAAAGTAGTTTTTTTTGGTAGGTATCTAAGATTCACCATGATCAAAGCCACCATTTGATGAGGATATGATGGGAATACCATGGCAATTCATCTCATATTTGGTACACCCCAGATACTAAGCCGGTCATTTTAGCGCAGTGATAAGTGACTCCTGTGTGATAAATAGGATTAGTCCACTTCTAGTGTAACTGGGGTGAACTATGACACTTGCGAAGTCTGGGGTGAACCACCCATGTAAGCCATTAACTATATCACCATTGACCTTGGTTAACAAAAAGTTATGTGCGTCAACTTAGCTATCGTTTGGGGGTCTCACCTTGTAATCATGAAACCACATTTTTTAGAAAATTCCCGTTTTAGCATTAGTCACGACTCGTCACGACAAGCGACGCTGCCAGGGACCCTGCCAACCACAGCAATGGCATATGGGTGGCACCGCAACATGGTCATGTACCACTCAGCGACTTGGACCTTGATCAACTTCTTCATCTGGAATCATGTGGTTTACTATTCCCCCGGTCATCACCATTTTTATAGATGATATATACCCTCTGGTTATGTCAAAATAGCTATTGAAAATGACCATGTATAGTGGATTTTCCAATTAAAAATAGTGATTTTCCATAGCTATGTTAGTTTGCCAGAGGGTAAACCTTATAAACCATTCCCAGTCATGGGATATCCACATGATTCAATAGTATAGATACCTCAGAAAAGATAGACAAGTTCGACAGCTGGAAAATCTGGAGAACACATCGTCGATACCAGCCTGGAAATTCTGTTCTAACATCTTCTATCATTTTTTGGGATTGCGATACAGAGAAACTCCCAAACGATGTGTGAGTTGGTTTATAAGCAGGCTAAGTTATGTAGATTTTATGGTGGATATTACACTGTGGGGCCCCCCAAACGTTATAAACGGGGCCCCACATTGTAGTTAAAACCTTTTAAGTTATAATATCTATAAGTTAATCCCTTAGTTGGTTTATAAGCCCCATGAAAACTATAGTGTATTTTATCTAAAGTAGATTTTATCCAAACTTTGGTGGATATATCCACATGTCTAAAGTATTATTTATACATGGTGGTTTCCCTACAATGGTGGTACTCCCGAATCATCCATTTTAATTGGATTTTCCATTATAAACCATCTATTTTGAGGTACATCCATTTCAGTAACCCTCCATATACTGTGTATATATATATCTATATATATATATATATATATTGATTTTTATTGGTTTATCAATGTTATTGTTTTTTTTGATGGTTTACCATGTTTACCCTGCAGTAAACTGACAGTTTGCAATGGAAAATGGACCATAGAAATAGATGATTTACCCCAAACATGATGTCAGCTAATGTATAAAGATGTTCCGTCAAACGCAGAAAAAATGGAGAAACCCTAATTTCCCAAACAGAAAGTGGAGTTTCCATATTGTTAAATAGCTGAAGAGTACAGTATATGTCAGGAAACATTGCATCAGAACATATTTCAATCACTATGTACCCAGGTCAAGAGACATGTCTTGAACCTGTATCAATGGGAATTTCAGGAACCTAAATTGGAGGTACCTACCATATATAAGGCCTTTTTTTCAGGCCTAAATTTCAGGGAATATCCCAGCAAAATATGGCCTTATATGGATTTATATGGTACTAACGTACCTCCATTTTAGGATCCTGAAATGGCCATTGACTGTATATGAATCCACATGTCTATAAAGATCAGTGGCATTGGACCCTGTGGAGGTTTTTGGACTGTTACTCTGTGACTCCCTGAAAGCCGATGCATCGATAAATGGAGGGTTTTCGGGGTGTGAAAATCGTTTTTGGTCATGGTGTCATTGTAATAAAGGGTGGCTAAAAAAAGACAGATACTCCATGAGTTACTGGCTTCAATCACTGCGTGGATTGCGTTCCATTGTAAAAACTTAGATTTTGTACTTCAATCCCCTGGAAAATCCACCATTTTTGTTCTGATTAAGTCACCATTTTCTATTGGTTATACCATCTGGTTATGACTAACATAGCCATGGAAAATCACCATGCTGTTCATAGGTAAACCATCTATTAATGGGCCATTTCCCATGGCTATGTTAAATAGCCAGAGGGTACATCCTATGGAATCTCCATAGGTTTCAGATCCTTGTCCTCGTCCTACAGCTGAACAGCTGAGGCCGGCTGCAAGGATGCAAGCCGGACCGCTCAGTGCACGCTTACAGGGATTGAGGAGCTTTGGGGAAGAGTGGCGCTCAACAAACAAACACATGATATCTGGGTCAACCTCGTTTAGATACTAACTAGTACTTTAATCTTTTGCTATCAATGGTAACATGTACTAACCAGCAAAATAACATGTGCTCTTGGGGCAAGTATCTAACTGGTTGCTGATTTGGAACATGTTTTATTTTTCCATATATTGGCCAGAATAATCCCAATTAACTAATATTGTTTCAGAGGGGTAGGTATACCACCAACCAGCTAAGATTTACCATGATATACTCAACCCTTATCCATTCAATCCAGGCTACGAGGGTCTCGAGTACTCACCTTTTGGGGTAACAGATACTTGTTTTTACTGTTCAATGGAGTGTCTAGGTAATATATGTATATTTATATATATATATATAACTATTCATATTACATATATATATATTATCTAGTATAATATATATATATATTGTTAAAGGGAACAAAGCGCTAGTACATGAATCAATGGACATTGATTTGCCCTTGTGGCTCAAGCGCCCGTTGAAAGGAAAACAGCCGTGCGTCTCTTGCAATGCCTTGCTAGGGTTCGGTTACACTCAGCATAGCAGGTGCCACCAATCGAAACAACATCCAGGACAAGGATCTATTTGTTCACAGGTTATCAGCCGTAGGGCTCACTTCTCCCGTCGGGAGAGTAGTACCTGCGTGCTGGTAGCCGGGCTGTCTGAGCAATTGATTGTGGACGCAAAGGACCAATCAGCTCATCATCGCAAAGATGCAAGGCGGCAGCGGAGATTCGCGCACCACGCAGTTTACCTTCAATGAGAACACTGCTATGCCGGTCGAGGAGGTCAATCAATCTTCCCCTGGCGACACGGCAGACAGTGGTGGGATACGCCCTACCCGAACTACACAGTCCGGATGGCAAGTTACATCAAACAGACGAAGAATATCCACCCAAAGTACACCAAGATCTTCTCGAAACAGTGCTCGAAGTGATGTTGTCCGCCAAGGGCATCGACCATCTCGAGGACGAACTACCCCAAGGGACAGATCCACCAGGGCCGTAACCGACCGAATTGGTGAGAGGACCGGGGATAGTCGTGTTAAGAGGAGATCAACGGATACTTCTGTGGCTAGTGAACCTATTGCCATGATAGAAGAACTACGGGCACAATGTCAATCCCTACGTAATCAGTTGAACCACATGGAAGCATACGCTGCATCTAGAGATCAACTGATTCATGACATCGAGATCAGATTCACTGAGTATCTTCAGGAACACAACCAGAATGTATGTGATGAGGTCAATGCACTCAATCATAGATTGTCATGTTCCGCAAATGAGGTTGCAGAATATCAAGCAGAACTAATGGTAGCATCTCAGGAAGACGAAGGTGCAACAATACGCATCCAAGACCTTGAACGCCGAGGTGCCCTAATGGAACATGGTGCAAGACGGATCCATCAACGTGGTATGGAGATCCAGGAAGAGTACAAGGATGAAGTACATCACCTTCAAGGACTATTGGGTAATACGGAGGCAAGACTGCAACAACTTCATCAAACCAATGTCTTAACCACCGATATTGCCAATCGATTATACAATGAAGGTCAAGAAATGCAGACGGATTTCCAGAACTCAATCATGGAATATCGTAATCGATCCGAAATGGCATCCTTCTCCAGCAATCAACTTGAAGTGATTAGCCAACAACAATCAATTACAGTTCATGAATTGTCTGAACGGAATCAGCTATTGAGTGAAGCTCTAGTTCAGTCTCGTAAACAGGCCGAGTTGTATGAAAGCAGTATCGAAGAGATCACTAGAGAATCTAGAAAGAAGGTTTTCGAGGCAAATCAGGCCAAATTGGAAAGTGATCTGAAGCATCGAAATACTGAACATGATACTGTCAGAAGAATTGCATCATACAGGAACCATGAGGCCGAAGCGATATCACACCTGAGGCTTGAATCACAGGCTAGTGCAAATTCGATCGCAAGGGCAGAGCACTATGAAGAGCTCTACACCAACGAGCAGGAGATGAACTGCGAGTTAAAGGATGAGATCGAGTTGCAGAACGTGAAGTTGCGAAGATCGTTGACTCAGGGCACTACGACCGACGGTCGTGGCCCCGATGAGATGCTTGTTGAAGATCTACGTAATCAAGCCAAAATCGCTCAAATCAGGGTTCAGGATCTAGATCATGAAGTTCATGAATGTTTACAAGAGAACATGTTGTTAAAAGAGAGATTGGCTGAAGTTGCGGATGTAGGGGCGTCGTCCTTCTCCAATGCTGAAGTCCGAACTTTAAGATCCGAACTAGAAAGTGAGCGCAAAATGAAATTGGCTAGTGGTGTTCAACAATATGAGAGATCATGCATGTTCATGGGGGAAATTCAGGATAGGGATGAAAAGATTGGTGTCAAGAATTCTGAGATTGTTGACATGAAACGTCACCTAGATGAACTAAGAAAGAGTCTCAAAGATTCTGAAACATCTATGTCTAGGGTCAACCCTGATACACTTCCCTATTCGGCAGGCATCCCCAACTATGATCTCGCGTCAAGACTGGTCATTGACAAACTGGAGAATGAGGTGAGTGAGGCTAACTCTGAGAGCGCTATCCTAAAATCTTGGGTAACGCAGATCGACAAGGAGTTGACCTACGAGACGAATGTTGCTCAATCCTATCGCGGACATGCTGGACATTCTCAACAGCAATCCTCTCAATCGAACAAAAGAATCACCGACCTGCTGAAAGAAGTTGACAACAAGATCGCCGATGGAACTGAGAAGGACTATTACAAGCCTCCGAGCGGATGGGGCGGTCCGCCTGACCCTGATGGACCTCCTGACCCTTTCGGGCCCAATGGTCCAGGACCACCTCCAGAACCTCCTGGTTTGCCTTCAGTTCGAGGATCACAACGTGATTCAGCAGATGACATCTCCACAGCGGCGTACACGGCAGAAGAAGTACCGAGAATGTCAAGACGGGAGGCTGACAAAGTCTACGTTAGCCCATGGCCGAAGCAGCAGAACCTTGGGATTTGGCAGTCAGATCTCATCAAGAGTGTTGTTCTTGCTGCGAATGATGGAGACAAAGCTGCGTGGGAAGCATGGTTACAGCCGGCTATTCGACCAAATCCTGACATTGAGCTATTGAATGACAGTGGAGGGCAACGATATCAATCAATAGACGCCAAGTTGTCAATCGCATTGTCAAACGTTATAGCCCAAGCCGGTGATGTTGCTCGTCATGTAGCAATCAAACTGAGATTGAGAACACAGAGTCATAGCCGAAAAGGAACCTATGTTATGGGACGAGAAATCTTGGCTATGATCCTGGGACACTTCAGAACCCCAGGTCAACGAGAGACAGCCTTCACCATGGAGCACATAGTATCGATGAAATATCTCGGTGACTCAAACCTGGAAGTGTTCTATGAGAAATGGATGGAGATGGTATCAAACATGATGCCGAATGATGTACCTCCTGATGATTGGCTTCGTGATGCTCTATACAAGAAGATTCGAAATTCGAGTCTTATGATGTTTGACATCAAGCAGTACGAGTCATGGATTGAAGGAGACCAAAGACGAAGCTATCGCTACCTGTTGGACGTCATCGAAAGGCACATCTCCAGAATTAGAGAAGACAAGCATGTGGCCGCTAGGGAGAAGTACGCAAGAGACTTCGCAGGCGGCGGCAAGCCTACTGCTCCTGCCCCGAATCCAACTGCTGCTGCACCAGACGCCAATCCGAAAGCGAAGCCTAAAGCCACTCCCAAGGAGAAGGCAGCACCTAAGGCGAAGGCCAAGGCCGATGCAGCTCCAGTTCTACCATCACCTCAACCGAAACAGCATGCAAAAGGAAAAGGGAAAGGTCAAGGGAAAGGAAAGGATCGACCAAACAGCCGAAGTGCTAGTCCTAGGTCCAAGAAGAAGATCCCATGCCACTTCCACTTCATCAAGAAAGCATGCAGAAAAGGCAAAGATTGTGAATACAGTCACGACCAAAAGGTGTTTGATGCGAACAAGAACGCAAAAGGTAATGGTCGAAAGCCAGGAACTCCAAGAAGTCAATCTCCAGCGAACAAGACCAAGAAGGTTGATGAACCATGCTGGCACTGGGCTAAGGGCAAGTGCCGATATGGAGACAAATGCAACAAACGCCATGATCCTCATCTATTCAACACTGCTCCAAACACCGAAGCATCAGGCTCAAAGGCTACTCCTGCACTTGTCCATGAATGGAGTGATGACGAAGGGACATTCCACAAGGTTGCATCGAACGTCATCAAGAAGAAGGTCAGATTCGATGAGTCTAAGACTTACGTCCGAACGTACGTGAAGAAGGACTTCGTGAAGTGCAGCCGGAAGTCCCAAACCATCTCCAAAGGTCATGGTAAAGTTGGTAAGCCCACCGATCAGATAAGGCAAGATGAGCAATGGTCTTATTCATGCAGATTAGCATCGAGCCGAGGGAAAGCAATGGCTATTCTGATCGATGAGAAGGGTGAGTACAGTGACATTGATGAAGTCCTGATCATCGTCGGCCCCAGCCTGGACATTCTGATCAGACTCGACATCGAGGACGGTGAGGTGTCTAGGGAAGTCTTTGTGGAGAACTATGTTCAGCACATTGAGGGTCGATATGGTAAAAGGGGCAACACAATGTGCATCACTGTTCCTGTTGAGGAAAGAGATAAGAGATTCATATTGGATTCTGGAAGTGGTCATGATCTCATCTCGTCTACACGAATAAGTAGAATGGATCTCCCAACATATGATGACAAAGTCGTCAACTTCCATACAGCAAATGGGGTAACATGTTCGACCAAACGTTCAAGTATCAAGTTCGAGGCATTCAACGAACCAGCAGAAGCTCACATCCTTGAAGACACGCCTTCTGTGATCTCCATGGGCAAGCGGTGCGTTGACCTTGGATACTCATTCGTATGGCCGACTGGAAGAACTCCT